AAAAATGAACTTTTTCATGATAATCAAATTTTTTGAGATGCACATGTATATATATATATATATATATATATATATATGTGTGTGTGTGTGTGTGTGTGTGTGTGTGTGTGTGAAAGAGAGATAATTAATTATAATTATAACAATTATCATTACAGTAAGCTGCTGTGGTTAAAAGTACATGTTGAATTTATGAAACATTTTGATGGACTTAGATGGAAACATCAAATTGTCACAAAAATAAAGTCACAACTTAGAAAGACTTTATGCAATGATTTTTCTTTTATTTGGGGGTGAAATATGTTTTTGCCAGGCAATATTCATCCATATTATGGCTTTGATGTCTTATACAACTAGCACACCATAATCTCAAAAAATTCCAGTGATGTTCAGAAACTGAAGTCCATCTTTATTGCAGAGGTAAAACTGTGTACCCCAACAAAGTTTGTACAATGGTGGAACACAAACATGAATTTAGTGTCTTTTATAGGCTGTTGTAAACATCGGTAAGATAAGGAACTGTGTGGAGAACTGTAGGAATTTCAGTCCTTCTAGAGAAATCAATTAGACATCGCAGTGGAATGCCTGCACATGTATGTTAGAGCACTTCTGAAAGCAAAAACGTCTAAATCGGAGAAAAATGTTATCAGCTGAATGAAACACATAATATGTGATAAATGTCACACAACTGATATGAAGACCTCTCAACATCTAATTTCCAGTGAAGTTGAGATCTCTTGGAAATAGTTTCTCCTAGACAGCGATGAGATTAAATTGCTTCTGCAATTTATAGATCTCATCTAATCTTTCAGAAGACATCTCAACTGAGTCTGAGACCTGGACATCCCTAAGATGAGGTGGGATATTTTCTCTGAGACCAAATCTAGGTCAAGGAAGGGTGTTTGTCTATACCTGCTCATGACTTGCATTGAATTTGACTCACAGAAGCACATATGGACAGAACAAAAGTCAACATCCCAAGATAAATGACCTTCCAGAAACATGGTCTGTATCTTCTTCCCCGTGACCCTTTGACCCCTGACACCCCTGCTCTTAATGCCATGGGCTCTAAACCCTTTCAGTGTCAAATAAGCTCCTTTCAAACAAAGTAGACAAGCTTTCGAAGAGCAGCTGCACGTTTTGGATGTGAATGACAATGTGATTCTCTATTGATCCAGGGGAGTTTCATTTTCCATGCACAGCATTGCAATCCCATTTGACTAGAGATGGCTCTGAAAATCAGAGTAAACTGAAAAAGATTACAGAGAATAAGCTGTCAAAATAAATGACACCGATTTCATGCGTCATTGGGAAGCCTATTGAGAGGATTTATTCTGAGAGCAACTTCTTCGCAGAGGTTAAAATGCTCTCATCACTCATTCAGTCTGCTTGCAACCGTCTTTTGTGTTTTGTTTAGATTGTGCTTTGCTTATCTTGACAACTTCTTTCAATATAAAGTGTGGCAATAGGGGAAACAATTAAGACATCTGTGATGTTGATGTTTTACCTGTTGATTACCTGAAGCAGTTGAACGGGTTTCTGGGTAATCTTTAACAGAGATGGATGTGGGATGTTTGCTGTTCTCCATATTGTGGGCCAAACTGTGGATTTTTTTTCTTTGTTACACTTTCCAAATTCCAAATAGCAAATAGTTAATTTTTCAAAGCAAGTAGGCCTGACTTAAGATTAATACTAGTTACGAGGACTATCAAAAATAATAATTGAAATCATAATTAGTGGTTTTATTGTGGATAATAGATCAAGAAATATATTTTAGATTTCACAATTACTCACTCTTTAATAATACTAATAACAGATAATAAAATAATATTATAAATAGTGGTTTTATAATAAAAAATCGAATTACTGATGTTTGATGAACATTTTATAAAAACCTTTTAAAACACTGTAGCAACACAATGCCAATTAATATCAAAATTAGTGGTTTAATTATGGATAATACATATATATATATACACATACACACACAGATACATCTAAAAAAACTAGAATATCGTGAAAAAGTTATTTTTTTGTAACATTTCAAAAAGTGAAACTTTAATAAATTCTAGATTCATTATATGTAAAGTAAAACATTTCAAAAGTTTTTTTCCCTGTATATATATACTGTATACTGTATGTATATATATGTGTGACCCTGGACCATAAGGGTCAATTTTTTGAAATTGAGATTTATACATCATCTGAAAGCTGAATAAATAATAGGACAATATTTGGCTGAGATACAACTATTTGAAAATCTGGAATCTGCGGGAGCAAAAAAATTTAAATACTGAGAAAATCGCCTTTAAAGTTGTCCAAATGAAGTTCAATGCATACTACTAATCAAATTAAGTTTTAATATATTTACAGTAGGAAATTTACAAAATATCTTCATGGAACATGATCTTTACTTAACATCCTAATGATTTTTGGCATAAAAGAAAAATCGATAATTTTGACCCATACAATGTATTTTTGGCTATTGCTACAAATATTCCATGTGACTTATGACTGGTTTTGTGGTCCAGGGTCACATATATTTAATATATTTATATATATTATATTTAAATGATTGATAGCAGATAATTATTATTTATTTTAATATTACAAAAACTATGTTTGACAATACATAAAAAAACACATTAGCTATTAAGACATAATTTATGAAAGTCATAATATCATTATCTTTTTTTAAATTATGAATTTTGGATGAATAAAATATTCTATGATTAATATTATAATTTTTAATGGTGTTTGATGAGCCAAATTCTTTAAAACACCTAAGGACACGCAAAAACGCTATTCTGTTTGTACCAGACAACAGTAAAACTGGTGTAAATTATGAGCAAATTTCTATTTTATGAGATTAATGGACCCTTTTGGATGAAGACTAACACGTCTGTGATCCACGATTGACAAAAATTATGTCTGCTTTTCTGTAAAATAGGTCACTGTCTCTAGTCTTGACTTGTCTCATCAAGACCTGACAGAAACCAGCAAATGTATGAAAGATATCTCACATCTATAGACAATATGGTGCTTCACAAAGAGATATAATATGATTCAAGTAGATTTAAAACATAACAAAAGTAGGACAGAGATTGGCTGGTGATTTACCATCCAGAAAATGCCAAAAAAAACCACCTAAGCAATGACTGGCTACTTTACCTTAGTGCTTACACTTACCTTTCAACAAAAGCACTTTTCTCTGAGTCACTACACAGAAAAAAATGTTTGGTGGGTAAATACAATCTGCCACATGACTGAGCTATCAGGTGTACTTGTGGGAGTATTTCCTGTGGGACGACAGTATTTGTCATGAACTAAGATGACAGGCTATTAAGGTGAGGACAGTTATTTCCGGAGTGGTATCTGAGAGACACTAACACAGGATTTTTGTATCACATGTCTGCAAGGGTCTTTTTTATGGGAAGTCACCCCATATCAACCTACTGTAAGTTCCAGTCAAGAAACAAAGGCTTGTGACTTAAGCTATAGGCCACTTTCTAACTGTCGTTATATAGATAAGTATCTAGTATCCTGTCACCGATAAACTGATATGTAGCAGATCTAGACACATACACTAGTTAAATGGTGGCCAGCATTTTATTTAGAGACTGTCTCCAGTTATATCAGACCTCTATTTCGGATGCAGAAACATGATGTACTAGCTATTTGTAAACTTGGCATGTTGATCCATATCAGCCATTCCTATTCTAATATACAGTATGATATATGATCAGATGATCTAAAATCACATAAAAATAAAAACATAAATGTAAAAGTCCATAGATGACATACTTTTTTTACTCCCAAAGTTTAATATAAGAATAAGAAAGATGATTTTATATACATCAAAACAAGTAACAAAAAGGAATATATATATATTACACAACACAAACTGTTGCATAGCACCCCGGACTACATATCCCATCATTCATTGCACTGATTACACACTGCACTGATTGCACACAGCTGTTTCATATCACTCACTCACTATAACACCCACTCAAACAACCATTCCCCCCTGAGTATTTTTTAGCCTGTACCCCGTTCCGAGTCTCTGTGTTTCCTTGTTTTGCCTTGCGTTGCCTGTTCTCTCGGCTTCTGATCTTTGCCCGTTTTCCTGGATTTTTCCCTCTCGTCTCGCCCCTGTGATTCTGTCTGCCGATCAGTGACCTACGCTAGGCCTAGGACTATTCTTGTGTTTTGCCCGCCATATACCTGTTTGCCATTGACCGACCCTGCCTGTGTTTGACCACTTCTCTTGTTAAATAAAGCTTGCGCATGGATCTGCACGCCTCTCGTCTCGTCAGCCCCGTGACACACACACACACACATACATACATATATATATATATATATATGGCCATTTCATTAAAAATGTTTAAAAGATGAAATGTCACAGAACACAAAAAAACTTGAGATGTGGTGGAAACGGCATTGTATTTATTATATACATGTAAATAAAATATAGTTAAATTGTAAATAAACGTTCATTTATGCATATCAAATTATAACATTATATAGAGTATTCTTTTTAAAATATATTTTCCTTTTGTTTATTAGTGTTACTTGTCCTTGATGTGTATAAAATATTTTTTTACTCGTTTGGGATCAAAAAAATTCCTAATTTTATGCCATCTATGGATTTTTATATTTATGTTTTTAAGGCTTTAACATAACTTATAGGCTATCTGCATGGGTGTTACCTGCTTCATTTTAGTCTCTTGTAAGTCAGTGAGTCATGCTTGAAAACTCCTCAAATTGATCTGTAAACTTAGATAAAAGCTGCCATTTACAAGAGTCCACACTTCCTGTATTAAGTGTCTTCAAGCTCCAGAGAAGATCACTCTCTTGGTCGAAGTTCAAAAATCCTCAGCCTGAAGTGAGCAGTGATTGGACAGATCTGAAAGCTTTCACGTGCCCTGGAAAACACCACACACACATACACACACACCTCCTCTGTCAACCCAAAGGGTGGAACCACAATCCCTGAAGGAAGAGATTAAGAAAAGGATTTAAAGTCAACAATGCATTTTGAATCAAGTTAATCATTAGGCTAAATGTTATAGGCTATACAAAATTGGCACTGTAATGTAAAGTGTTACTTTTTATACTCCTATCTGGTAAGTTTCCAATAATTTGCAGTACATGTTGTGAATGCACAATGATGTAAGTTGTCTGAAGGAGGTGGGCATGTAGAAACCCGGGTGTTTTGTGGATGTCTCCGCAGTCATGCAGGTTTCGCGGATCCGTGCGGCGCGTAAAATTGAGTGGCTCAGATGCGCGCTAACGCACCACTTCAGCCCAGATCCCTGCGTGGAAAACGAGATCGTGGTTTTGGCCATCGGTGTGGACCAGTATCTCCAGGAGGTGTTTCATCACCTCGCCTTTTACCACGGTGATGACCTCGTCTCGAATGAGGACTTTAGGAGTCTGTGTTTGATTTTGGGGATCCCCGCGAGCGCAGAGACCGAGAACGGCACCTCAGAGCACCGGGATATTTGCGATGGACTTCCTCTTGTGCTGAACTTTAAAGTCTTCCACGCACGGCTTTGTGGTTTTTTCTCGCTAAAAGCGCAGGAAGGACAGACGGGAGTTCGACTTCCGATCAGCGAGGAGACCGAGCACATCGAGCGGGAGATCAGGCTCCGGTGTCCCCGCGTCCGGAGGAGAAAGTGCGTCAGCTTTGATCTGTCTGCCGACCAACAGAACCGGAGGAGGTCAGTGAGGAGATCCGGACCCTCTCAGAATCCGGATCATTTGCAGAGCTCTGCTGTGGAACCCAAAAGAAACGCAGGTAGGAGCCACACACACACACACACACACACACACACACACCCACACCTGAGCTGTCAGGACAGGTGGACTAATTTAACAGCTGTGTTTTTCCATCCAAAAACTCAAGCCTTAGGGGACGTTTTTAGCCTTTAATGATGAATAATGAAGATTTATTTAAGGGAGATTTAGGAGTGTCTGTGCCATAAAACAAATGCATATTGCATAAACAGCTTCTAATTGATAATAATCCAAATAAACTTCACTGATTTATTTACTGATCATATTTCACTCAACTTTTTTTAAAACTAAAAAAGTAGTAAGTTAACGTTAAAGAACAATCATCATTATCTTCATAATAAAAAATTTATTTTAATTATATTAATTATGACTTTACACATTTAAGAACATAATATTTGAATTATATTGTATTACATTATAATAAAAAATAAAACAAATACGTATATTTATTAAACAAATACAAAATGATGTATAAATAAATAATTGTATTATAATAATTATATAATATTTAACATGTATGTCTTAATTTATATTACACAATTGTTAAAATAGTTGATTAATAAATAATTTATAATATCTATGAATCATTTTGAAAGCAAAAAGCTGTGTTTTTTGTTGTGTTTAGTCATTACTGAAGACCCTATTTTTACTGTATTGCAGTGGATATTATCCCTCAGAGGAGATGGCAGGACCAGCTGGAGCTGGAGAACGCCAGTCTGAGGGAGCTGGTGGAGGACTTGCGTTCTGCCCTCCAGAGTAGCGACGCACGGTGTTTGGCACTGGAGGTGGCCTTATGCCGAAAAGACGTGCCGTCCCAACATACTGCTGGAGGAACCTCTGAAAAACAGGACTGCAAAACAAAAACACAACAATCCAAACACATGGAATGGGACTCCAGAAGAAGCACTAAAGACCTCCTACGAGAGCTGGAACTGATCCGTGCTTCTCGCGATGGACAGCTGGAGGAAGCCATGCGCTTTAACCAGAGGTTAGAGGAAGAGCTGATGGCGGCTTATGGAGAGATTAGCAGGATGCAGGAGATGCTGGACAGCGTCTGGACGGAAAACACACGGATTAAGAAGAGGACAGAAGAGGTCAGAGAGTCTCTGGCCGCAGGGCTGGAGGGTGTGAGGACCTTACAAGACCAGGCTCGACAAGCTGACCTGCTCCGAGAACAAGTCCAGAGTCTGGAGAGCCAGCTGGAGAAGTTCAGGTAGATCTTTTATTTATCTCATGCTATAATTTCAGTCACACACATGCAGGTAAAGAAGTTTGGGATCAGGGGTGTATTCCAGAAAGCACTGTTAAGGTTAACTTACCTGAACTTTCGGTTGATTAACCCCAAACCTTGCTTACTCGAGGTATGTGGTTCCAAAAACGCGTCCGGGAGTAAGTTCATTCAACTCAGAGTATGTTCCTGGTTCAGACTCAAGACATTCTCAACAGAGCAATGAATCGACGAGTCACTATGGAAACGCCATGCTGTTTCTTTCTTCTTCTTTTGTTCAATGGTCGTTTACATGCTTAGTGCATATCGCCACCTAATTGATGGTTGTGCAATCATTTTTATTATCTTTAATCCTTGAGAATATGAATTATATTGTTTGTTTGATGATAATTATATATTAAGTCATATCAGATATGTATTTTGATTTAGAATTTAGACATTATAGAAAATGCTGATCCATGTGTGAGATGATAATATAAAATGTAATAAATAAATATATATAATATAATAAATTAAACATTACCTTGTCATAGTGTTTTAGAATTTATACAGACAACTGTTATATATGCCAATAAAATAAATATAATAACTAGAATAATATATTACCTTATTTATTACTTATATTAGCGCTCTCTCTCTCTCTCTCTCTCTCTCTCTCTATATATATATATATATATATACAGTGGGTACGGAAAGTAT